TGATTTTGGGTATGTTTGTATTTGGAAGGTGCTGATTAATAATATGTGACTTTTATTAATATTGGATGTATAGTTTTAGAGTTATGAAAGTTGGGTAAAAAGTATGTTTTAAAAGGTATGGATAATTGGGTTACCTCTCAGGCTAAGGTGAGGAGATTGTGGGATGTAACCATTGTGTGATTGGGTATTGTATAATTGTCCGTGGGCGCCTCCCTTGCAGGGGATAATTGCATAAAAGCAGAGTGTGTGTCATTAAACCTCAGATCCTGTTTGACCCTCAATACGTAGCCTTGTCTTGTTATTGGAGGGAGCTGCTATCATCACACTGGGGATTGCTATGCTCTGCATACTCCCCTGAGCTTTTAATCACTTAGCTCTTTTAAGAGCTTGTTCCTGATAGGCTCTCCTGGAGGAGAGGTCTTCCCCACACGGTCCTGGAGGACAGAAGCTAATCCAGGGTGGACGGAAGACGGCGAGGCTCCAGTTAAGCTAAGGTGGTTCTGAAGTCTGCGGTGGTTGTGGTGTCCAGTGCGGTGCTTGTGGTCCTCGGCGCAAGCTAGGAAGCATCCATTAACGGAAGGTGATCCGTTACAGTGGTGGCAGCGGTGGGATGGCTTCCCTAGTGCGAGGAGCAGCATCCTGGGAACACCAAGCAAACCTGGAGTATTGGTATAGTCACGTACGGTTTGACGCTATACTGAAGGGGCGGTTGGCTCTCTATGGGCCCAACCCAACGAAGGAACGTGTACAGAGAATGAGGAGAGAACTAGCCGAGCGTCTGCAGAAGGAAGCAGACTATTGGGCAGAGATGGCAAAGTATTCTGTCCCTGCGCCCCAGCAACAGCGTATCCTTCTTCCCCAGCGGCAGTGTAGGTCCCAGGAAGCCGAAGGTGTCGTCCTTCCTCCCCAGCGGCAGTGTGAGTTACAGGGAGTCGAAGGTGTCGTCCTTCCTCTCCAGCGACAGTGTGAGTTACAGGGAACCGAAGGTGTCGTCTTTCCTCCCCAGCGGCAGTGTGGGTCCCAGGGAGCCAAAGGTGTCATCCTTCCTCCCCAGCGGCAGTGCGAGTTACAGGGAGCCGTAGGTGCCGTCCTTCCTCCCCAGCGGCAGTGTGAAATCCAGGGGGCCAAAGGTGTTGTCCTTCCCCCCAGCAGCAGTGTGTCCTAGAGGGGGCCGAGAAAGTTGGTCTCTCTCCCCAGCAGCAGGACAATGTTACGGAAGTGGAGACAGTTGGTCTCCCTCTCCAGCGGCAGCATGTGTTTCAGGGAGAGGAGCATAGCCCCCTCTCTCCCCAATGGCAGCTTACCCTACCAAGGGGAGACACCAATCTTCTAGATGGCGCAGATGGGACCGTGGTCTCTGTGCATGACCCACAATGATGCTGGACAGCCTGTCCAGATTCCCAGCTACCATCGCAGGAGTATCAGGAAGAGGGAGGTAAGCCAATTCTCCCCTCCCCAGCTAACTCCTAACTTGGCCCCAGGGTTAACAGAGGAGATGTTAACCCCCACTGACCCCCATGTTCCCCTGGCTGCTGAGCCGGACTATATCCCAAGCACCCCAGCAGAAGAGCCGGCAGCTGGGCAGAGTGCAGTTGGCCTCTGCCCTCCCTTTGTCCCTTGTCCAGAGCCTGATGTCCTGCAGGCTATACCAGCAGAAGAGCTGGCATCAGGGCAGAGCGCCGCTGGCCTCTGCCCCTCAAGTCCCCACAGTGTGTTGCCCAATCAACCCAGATGGATACCCAGGTGCAGTAACTGTTTGTTGTGGGTGGGCTGCTCTGGCACTGGTTTGTTGTGGGTGGGCGGATCGACTAACTTAGGCACTGACCGACAGAAGGTCAGGTGCCTGGTTAGTCTTCCCCCCCCAAAGAGGAGATGTGTGACAAAGTGCCCTTCGCCACTTTGTCCTGGAGAGGCCTGCTTGCCTGCCTCATGCCCTGCGACTATGGCCCTGGGATGTATTGCCCTTCTAGGAACTGATGTGGGCATACTGGAGGCTTATATTGCTGTTTCTGGCTCTTTAATGCCCAAAGAAAGGATTTGTACTTTTAAACTTCGGATGCAGTCGAACCAGTCGAAGTTGTCGAAGCAGTCGAAGTGACCGCCATTCGAATACCGAACACGTGGCGGCGGCCATTTTAACTCATTCGAACGCGGTCAGTGGTGTGTGCAGCCAAATCTATGGAACTGTTTTCGGCTACCCAATTGCACAAACACCGCTGATCCGTACGTTCTACTCTACTTCGACACTGCAGCTGGAGACTAAGTCTCGTTCGAAGATTCGAACGCTCGTTCGAATGGGACTTAGTAATTTTCTTGGTGTAAAATAGACCGACCGCACAGCCCAAATCCATGGAACTGTTTTGGGCATGAAAATGTGGTCAAAGGTGACTTATATGTATCTCCCGAACGGCTGAACGAATTCGAATGATTTTTGGGTATGTTTGTACTTAGAATGTGCTGATTATTAATATTGGATGTATGGTTTTAGAGTTATGAAAGTTGGGTAAAAAGTATGTTTTAAAAGGTATGGATAATTGGGTTACCTCTCAGGCTAAGGGGAGGAGATGTGTGGGATGTAACCATTATGTGATTGGGTATTGTATAATTGTCCGTGGGCGTCTCCCTTGCAGGGGAGAATTGCATAAAAGCAGAGTGTGTGTCATTAAACCTCAGATCCTGTTTGACCCTCAATACGTAGCCTTGTCTCGTTATTGGAGGGAGCTGCTATCATCACACTGGGGATTGCTATGCTCTGCATACTCCCCTGAGCTTTTAATCACTTAGCTCTTTTAAGAGCTTGTTCCTGATATGCTCTCCTGGAGGAGAGGTCTTCCCCACACGGTCCTGGAGGACAGAAGCTGTCCCCACAGGGGACAGAAGCAGATCCAGGGTGGACGGAAGACGGCGAGGCTCCTGTTAAGCTATGGCGGTTGTGAAGTCTGCGGTGGTTGTGGTGTCCAGTGCGGTGCTTGTGGTCCTCGGCGCAAGCTAGGAAGCATCCATTAACGGAAGGTGATCCGTTACACCGAAGTTCCGAAGTCTTGAAGTGCCAAATTGCCGAAGTCCCGAATTGCAAAAAATCCAGAATTTCGGAATGCCGAACCGAAAATGTTCCCCATGCACATGCCTAGATAGAGTAAAGCGTAGTCGAAATACGAGCCAAGGTCAGGTTAACGGAGAGTCATCAAAAGTGAGAACTAGCCAGAGTCAGGTACACGGTAATAATCAGAAGGGCAAACAAGACAGGCAAAGGTTAAAGAGAAACTCAGAGTCAGGAAGCAAAGCCAAGGTCAATACCAGAATACAATCCTTATCACAAGGAACGCACTAAGGGGTACTGGGAACATAAACCACAATAGAGCACAGAATCTAGGGCCAGGTAAGTTTAAATACTTTTATTTTTAATTTGATTGGTTCACATCATGCCTGTGCCCCAAAACATGCATAAATGGGGGCCCCGAAATGACATAGGCCAATGTGAGCCAACCGCAAAGTTAGGCTCCCAATTCCCCTTTAAGAACGTGCTCGCAAAGCAAGCAGAATTCCCAATACTGTACGGGCCATGAGCACAAGAGCACCTGGATTTTCCACAGCAGTACTGGCAAAATATTCTGTGGACAGATGAAACCAAAGTTGAGTTGTTTGGAAGAAACACACAACACTATGTGTGACGAAAAAAAGGCACAGCACACCAACATCAAAACCTCATCCAAACTGTGAAGTATGGTGGTGGGGGCATCATGCTTTGGGGCTGCTTTGCTGCGTCAGGGCCTGGACTGATTGCTATCATCAAAGGAAAAATTAATTCCCAAGTTTATCAAGACATTTTGCAGGAGAACTTAAGGCCATCTGTCTACCAGCTGAAGCTCAACAGAAGATGGATGTTGCAACAGGACAATGACCCAAAGCATAGAAGTAAATCAACAACAGAATGGCTTAAACAGAAGAAAATACGCCTTCTGAAGTGGCCCAGTCAGAGTCCTGACCTGAACCCAATTGAGATGCTGTGGCATGCCCTCAAGAAAGCGATTCACACCAGCCATCCCAAGAATATTGCTGAACTGAAACAGTTCTGTAAAGAGGAATGGTCAAGAATTACTCCTGACCGTTGTGCACGTCTAATCTGCAACAGGAAACGTTTGGTTGAAGTTATTGCTGCCAAAGGAGGTTCAACCAGTTATTAAATCCAAAGGTTCACAAACTTTTTCCACTTGCACTGTGAATGTTTACATGGTCTGTTCAATAAAAACATGGCAACATTTCATTCTTTGTGTGTTATTAGTTTAAGCAGACTGTGATTGTCTATTGTTGTGACTTAGATGATGATCAGATCACATTTTATGACCAATTTGTGCAGAAATCCATATCATTCCAAAGGGTTCACATACTTTTTCTTGCAACTGTACTTAGCAATATAAATATCGATGCAACAATGTATCAGAAATATATCTGATACTCAGTAATGTAGTTATGTGTATTTCACGTAGCTGTCAAATGATAATGTACACCGGTGTATCGAAAATGCATGAAATATATGCAACAGTATAATAAGATCATAAATAGTTTACCTAAAAGGTAATCAGCCACAAGATGCAGCTCTAGGAGTCACCTACTAATTGCCAGTACTCAAGATCGAAATACAAGCTAACCAGGCTGCCTGATAGTGATAGAATTCTAGTGATAGAATTAATAATACGTGCAGATAATTAAGCTGCAAACTAGCTACTCTTATTCACTTAAATAAGGGGAACTGAAGTTGTCAAAACCATTAACCAATATATATATAATGAATAGCAATAAAGATACTAAAACTGGAGAAAGAGAAAAAGGTAGATAGAATAGTGCCTTCGTGGGCACCTGTTATAGCAAAGAAGTGTGGAAAGAAGGTTTAGATCAAATAACTGTGTGAAGAGTAAAGTTATAGTGTCAGAGTCCTGCAAGTTTCAATTAGTTATGAAAAGGATACTCTGATCGGTATCAAATTTTCCTGTTCCACTCAGACGGCTGTCAACAGTCAAGATTATAACAGTCCCAAAGGGCTGTATGATATAGCCAATTGTAGGTATATTAACCAGGAGAAAAAGGAAGAGGATGGTACCAAAGGAACAAGAATGGCGATGAATATCAGGTAAGTGTCAATCCAGACACGCATTTCGCCTGAGTTAGAGGCTCATCAGGGGAAGAACTACATTACTGAGTATCAGATATATTTCTGATACATTGTTGCATCGATATTTATTTTGCTAAGTAGTTACCTCTTAAGGTGTTATATCGATACTTTGTGCCATTTATTCTCTCTTTATATACCTCATAATTATATATTGAGTTCCGGCTGACCTTATGATTAAAGCTATTTAGCTAGATATTGATGCACATATCTAATTAAGCCAGCTTAGTTTATTTAATTTATTTGTTCACTTTTGTGTGTCATATCTCACTTCCCTTTACCTCTATTTGTGTTCCTTACGTAGACTACTGTTATTAACTCGCTATATTGGAGTTAGGTAGCTACTGTTAGGGTTCTCTGTGGAAAGTTTATGTGAGTCTTTTCTGTTCAATAAAGTATATATATTTTTTAACTGTTATTCCATATACATATATATACACATATACATATATATACACATATATACATATATATATATATAATTTATTATTTTTTTCAGGGACAGTTTTTCTTTTTCTTTGCTGTTCATGAATAGCAGGAGTGGCAAACTTTCACAGTTGGAGGCCAGGATGCAGGCTGATAAACTAGTAGTGAAACAAGTGATAAGTGCTCTCTATCCAATAAAGCAGCTATTCACCAACAAGGAGTTCCTTTTACCATGTGAACAATAGAACAAAACAAGCAAGTAAATTAGGTGGACAGTGCTAAGAATTATTATAATAAAATCATACATACACAGGTAGCAGCAGATTTTGCAATTATGTGTCTTACTCTTAAAAAAAAGAACTAAAAAGTACAATGATAGTGCAGTATGTTATGAATAATATGGTGATAAAGATATATTCCAAAGTGGCACTCACGTTTTCCAGAGCTTAAAAAGCTCTATTTTAGGAGTCTGGAGGAACAATCCCTGTCTAAGGATTTCTTTTTGCTGGTATCAGATTCCCAAGGTAGTGCGGTTCATCATATGAAAAAAATAAGGATGTATACCATTGGTACAGTACATATGTAAAAGTAGGAAAAGTAAATAATATTTGACCTACTTACATTTGCTAGAACAATGACCTGCTCTAGTGCATGGAGCTTTAGGTGGAACAATCCCCACCTAGGGATATATGTAGATCCGGAACAGCAGAGTGATGGTGAGAGTATAAGGAGCTAAAGAGTGACTAGGTATTAAAACAGAATCTTTATTAATAAACAGAATTAATAAAACTATTTAAAAGTAGTGATGTCCCGAACGGTTTGCCGAACGGTTTGCCGAACGGTTCGCGAACGGTTCGCCACGAACGGTTCGCCACGGACTCATCATTGAGTAAACTTTGACCCTGTACCTCACAGTCTGCAGACACATTCCAGCCAATCAGCAGCAGACCCTCCCTTCCAGACCCTCCCACCTCCTGGACAGCTCACTAAGAATGCAGCTTCACAATGAATGTAAAATGGATGCTGTCCAGGAGGTGGGAGGGTCTGGGAGGGAAGGTCTGCTGCTGATTGGCTGGAATGTGTCTGCTGACTGTGAGGTACAGGGTCAAAGTTTACTCAATGATGAGTCCGTGGCGAACCATTCCGCGAATTGTTCGGGACATCACTACTTTTAAATAGTTTTATTAATTCTGTTTATTAATAAAGATTCTGTTTTAATACCCAGTCACTCTTGAGCTCCTTATACTCTCACCATCACTCTGCTTTTCTGGATCTACATATATCCCTAGGTGGGGATTGTTCCACTTAAAGCATCACTATTTAAAAGTGAACTATATAGTAAAAAGAACTATAAATAAAACCAGTCCTTGTAGGCAATCCTTAATCTCCACTTGACATGTTTCGCTTACAGCTTTCTCAAAACTGAATGTCTGCTGTTCACGTCAGTTAATGTTTAAATAGTCTCTTAATTTCTCTATTCAGTTCTGTAATTCTGGTTCCAGGTCATTTGTTACATAATTTCCGGTTTGGTGGACATCTCCATGATGATAGCGCCATTTTGGATAAGGGCAAAAGTCCAGTAAACTAATTGATAGTAGCAAAATACATACAAACAGGTGGAGTATCTTGGTTCGTTGATGCAAAATAAAATGTAATTTAAATGAGAACTGTAACGACAGAAAGAAATGACAAAATCTAGTGTAGTATTATAGAGTACATAAGTAGTTTCATGTATAATATATGATTCGGTACTCACAAAAGGAGAGCCAAAAGAAAATGGCTCAATTTAAACGCCTGTGGAATAATTATAAGGGTTCCCACTCCCTCTCTGTGCAGCAGCTGTATCTGAATCCCTTGGTGTTATTCTGAAGAGACCATCACCATTCCTGTCAAAGGTAATTCTTCTTTTAATAAAAAAAGGGGGTATACATAAAATACAAATAAACTTAAAATACAAAGAAATAAAATAAAAACTTTAAAAAAAAATCACTCAATGTGATAGAGATGTTGAAGTTGTCCACTCTGGGATAGCAAGACGCGTTTCGCCTAATAATTAGGCTTCCTCAGTTGCTCCTGATATATGCTTTCAAACGTTCGTTCTTTTATACCCCTCTCTGATGAGGGAACACCGGGCGTCTGTTGTGTAACCTCTTCTTCTGGGTTCCGTATTTCGTCGTCACTTCCGTTTTCTGTTTTCAACGTATTTCCGGTTTTCAGATCGCTCCGATATTGGAACGCATATGCGTTCCACTCCTTGAAAAAACTTTATTTGCATATGCATATAGTGCAAATTTAAACCTGGCTTCCTTTTCATTTCATATATATTCACTTGTGGAACATATGAGTATTCTATCTCTAAGGGAGGTGAATATTTATCTTATATAAATATGTACACAATAATATAAAATATAAAGCTTATAAGAAAAAATAAAAATAAAAAATAAAATAAAAACCATTAAAAATAATGATCAATATATAAAACTAGGAAACATCCATAAAATAAGAACATCAAACATAAGTGAAAAAATGATAATGTAATACATCCTAAGTGTAAAAGACCAAATCCCATACATAAAAAACATAGACACCATATATAGAGGTGCAAATAGCAATAATCTTTAATACCTATACTTAGGTCTAAGTGCCAAAAGTAGCAGCTAGCCCATTGTGTAACATATAAGCAGAATTATTTTTTGAGGAAATGGCAAATCTCAAAATCAGAATTTAACCCATTAGGTATCAGGGAGTTAAAATTAAAAATGAATTTCATTTCCTCCTTCCCTAGTTTGTTCATATAATCTCCTCCTCTCCAATGTTTAGTTACTAATTTTATTGCACAAAATAGGAGGCCTGTAGGGTCTTGGTTATGGGTCATTTTAAAGTGCTGTGAAACAGAATGCGTTTCTAGGCCTTTTCTGATATTCCGTACATGCTCTGGAATTCTTGTATGGAGGGGTCATATTGTTCTTCCTATATAAAGTAGATTGCAGGGACATCTTAGGACATAAATAATTCCTTTAGAATGACATGTAAGATGGTCTTTTATCTAATACTGTTGGCCTACTAATTCGCTTATGTCCAAGAGGTGTCTTTTTTTGCTTTTCGTTGCCCTGCATGGTAGACATTCCCCACAACCATAAAAACCTACAAGGTTGTTAAAAAAATGGTCTGGTTTGGTGACATCTAAACTGCTCCTAACCAAAATATTTCGTAAATTCTTAGTTCCTCTATATATAATTTTAGGTTTTGGAGGTAAAATAGCTTTTAGAATTGGATCATCTCTCAAGATATGCCAATGTTTTTTTATGGCGTTTTGAATTTTTTTAGTATTTCCGTTATATCTACATATAAAAGGAATGTCCTCATTTCTTTGAGAGGTATTCTTGGATTTATATTTTAAAAGTTGTTTTCTTTCTAAAAGTTTTATATCTTCTAAGTCTTTTTTTAATTTAGTTTCCTCGTAACCTTTCTCTAAAAATTGATTCATTAAATACTTTGATTGTTCTGTATATACTTGTGTATCTGTGCAGTTTCTCCTTAATCTCTTAAACTGTCCTCTCTGTGCATTAACGAGCCAAGGAGTATGATGACAACTGGTTCTATCAATATAACTATTAGTGTCCACCGGTTTAAAATAGTTTTTTGTACAAATATTCGAATTTTCAATATATATGTTTAAATCCAAAAAGTTAATTTCTGTGTGGCTCGTATTGCAAGTAAGTTTGATGCCCCAATCATTATTATTAAGAAACTGTAAAAAGTTGGTAAGTTCTTGGTTGTCTCCCGTCCAAATAAAAAATACATCGTCGATATATCTGCGGTAGGACACCAAATTTGCCACCCAGTCATGTCCGCTGGAAACAAATATAGTATCATTCCCCACAACAAGGGACTAGAGGCAGCAAAACATTTTTTAGAAAAATCTCTTTTTAAGAAAGAACAAATAGATTTTATTTTGGAAGGAATTCTTCTAATTTTAACCAACAATTATTTTTGGTTTCAGGACCAGTTTTTTCTGCAGATCTGTGGTACAGCAATGGGCACCAAGTTTGCTCCCAGCTATGCCAATCTTTTTATGGCATATTGGGAAGAACATTTTGTTTCCAGCGGACATGACTGGGTGGCAAATTTGGTGTCCTACCGCAGATATATCGACGATGTATTTTTTATTTGGACGGGAGACAACCAAGAACTTTTTACAGTTTCTTAATAATAACGATTGGGGCATCAAACTTACTTGCAATACGAGCCATACAGAAATTAACTTTTTGGATTTAAACATATATATTGAAAATTCGAATATTTGTACAAAAAACTATTTTAAACCGGTGGACACTAATAGTTATATTGATAGAACCAGTTGTCATCATACTCCTTGGCTCATTAATGCACTGAGAGGACAGTTTAAGATATTAAGGAGAAACTGCACAGATACACAAGTATATACAGAACAATCAAAGTATTTAATGAATCAATGTTTAGAGAAAGGTTACAAGGAAACTAAATTAAAAAAAGACTTAGAAGATATAAAACTTTTAGAAAGAAAACAACTTTTAAAATATAAATCCAAGAATACCTCTCAAAGAAATGAGGACATTCCTTTTATATGTAGATATAACGGAAATACTAAAAAAATTCAAAACGCCATAAAAAAACATTGGCATATCTTGAGAGATGATCCAATTCTAAAAGCTATTTTACCTCCAAAACCTAAAATTATATATAGAGGAACTAAGAATTTACGAAATATTTTGGTTAGGAGCAGTTTAGATGTCACCAAACCAGACCATTTTTTTAACAACCTTGTAGGTTTTTATGGTTGTGGGGAATGTCTACCATGCAGGGCAACGAAATGCAAAAAAAGACACCTCTTGGACATAAGCGAATTAGTAGGCCAACAGTATAAGATAAAAGACCATCTTACATGTCATTCTAAAGGAATTATTTATGTCCTAAGGTGTCCCTGCAATCTACTTTATATGGGAAGAACAATACGACCCCTCCATACAAGAATTGCAGAGCATGTACGGAATATCAGAAAAGGCCTAGAAACGCATTCTGTTTCACAGCACTTTAAAATGACCCATAACCAAGACCCTACAGGCCTCCTATTTTGTGCAATAAAATTAGTAACTAAACATTGGAGAGGAGAAGATTATATGAACAAACTAGGGAAGGAGGAAATGAAATTCATTTTTAATTTTAACACCCTGATACCTAATGGGTTAAATTCTGATTTTGAGATTTGCCATTTCCTCAAAAAATAATTCTGCTTATATGTTACACAATGGGCTAGCTGCTACTTTTGGCACTTAGACCTAAGTATAGGTATTAAAGATTATTGCTATTTGCACCTCTATATATGGTGTCTATGTTTTTTATGTATGGGATTTGGTCTTTTACACTTAGGATGTATTACATTATCAATTTTTCACTTATGTTTGATGTTCTTATTTTATGGATGTTTCCTAGTTTTATATATTGATCATTATTTTTAATGGTTTTTATTTTATTTTTATTTTTTCTTATAAGCTTTATATTTTATATTATTTTGTACATTTAGAATATTTAAATAAGATAAATATTCACCTCCCTTAGAGATAGAATACTCATATGTTCCACAAGTGAATGTATATGAAAAGAAAAGGAAGCCAGGTTTAAATTTGGACTATATGCATATGCGAATAAAGTTTTTTCAAGGAGTGGAACGCGGAGCGATCTGAAAACCGGAAATACGTTGAAAACAGAAACCGGAAGTGACGACGAAATACGGAACCCGGAAGAAGAGGTTACACAACAGACGCCCGGTATTCCCTCATCAGAGAGGGGTATAAAAGAACGAACGTTTGAAAGCATATATCAGGAGCAACTGAGGAAGCCTAATTATTAGGCAAAACGCGTCTTGCTATCCCAGAGTGGACTACTTCAACATCTCTATCACATTGAGTGATTTTTTTTTAAAGTTTTTATTTTATTTCTTTGTATTTTAAGTTTATTTGTATTTTATGTATACCCCCTTTTTTATTAAAAGAAGAAATACCTTTGACCGGAATGGTGATGGTCTCTTCTTCAGAATAACACCAAGGGATTCAGATACAGCTGCTGCACAGAGAGGGAGTGGGAACCCTTATAATTATTCCACAGGCATTTAAATTGAGCCATTTTCTTTTGGCTCTCCTTTTGTGAGTACCGAATCATATATTATACATGAAACTACTTATGTACTCTATAATACTACACTAGATTTTGTCATATCTTTCTGTCGTTACAGTTCTCATTTAAATTACATTTTATTTTGCATCAACGAACCAAGATACTCCACCTGTTTGTATGTATTTATGTGCTTTGATTTTATGTGGATAGAGAGGTTGCCACATAGGTGTTTTTGAGCTACTTGGTTGTTGTTGGGGTCACTTGCTGAAACTCTGTATCCGCATTACATTGTAATTGATAGTAGTGCCATTTTGGATAAGGGCAAAAGTCCAGTGAACTAAGTGATAGTAACACCATTTTGGATAAGGGCAAAGGTCCAGTAAACCAAGTGATAGTAGCACCATTTTGGATAAGGGCAAAAGTCCTGTGAAACAAGTCTATACTTCTGGTTTCGGGTCATTCGTTACATCACTTCCGGTTTGGTGGGTGTCTCCATAATGGTGTATACAGGAAGTGATGGTAACGCCATTTTGGATAATGGCAGAAGTCCAGTAAGAAAAAGAGGAGTTAATATAAAAGTAAATTAAAACAAACAAATCAAGGTGTAATCTTGCATATATTCTGCATATATAATTATAGAGATTATAAAAGTGCTAAATGCTGAATAGGGATCGCCGTATATCACATGTATTTACACAGCGATCTCTTCTAAATAGTACTAATAGACATCTGGAACTAGTCTGGATGTATATAATAGAAATCCAAAGTTTTAAGATAATATATGTATGAAATTTGGTTAAAAAAGGGGAAAAATTATATACACACATGAATTATAAAAAAACATATTTAAAAAAAAATTCTACATTGTTCCAGATTATAGTACAATTTTACAATCTAAACATTTTATGATTGATTTATGAAGATATTGTGCATAACTTTAAAGAGTGTATTATAAAAAGGATATTATAAAAAATGTATTAGATCGAATTCTATAATGAGACCGCTTGGGTTGCGGGTGTCTAGGAGGTGGACCCATTCCATTTCTAGTTTACTTATATTTTTAATATTGTCACCTCCTCTGCAATGAGGTTTATATTTGGCGATTCCTGTGAATTTTAATTGACTAGGGTCTTTATTGTGCAGTATAAAGTGGGCAGAAACAGAGTGGCTCTTGAGTCCTTTTTCTATATTTTGGCAATGCTCGCTTATTCTCACTTTTAGTGGTCTAATTGTCCTGCCAACATATTGTAGTCCGCAAGGACACTCTAACAAATATATTACATTGGTAATGTTACACGTTATTACATCATATATGCTAAAAAATTTGTTCTTATTCATTGATTTCAAATTTGGGATAAATTTGTAATTTTTTTGCGTTTTCTTACATGCTGTACATACATTACATTTAAAAAACCTTTCTTAGTGTTGAAAAAAATTTGTTTTGTTTTTTTATCCTGTGTATGTTTATGTTTAGTGTAGTTTTTAGTAAGTTTCATTTTTAGATTGGGGGCGCCTCTAAATATTATGGTTGGTTTATCGGTTTATCGGTTGGTTTTAAAGATCCTTTTTAGTAGATTGTCCTCTTTTGGTATGTTCCAATGTTTATTTATTATTCTTTTAATCTGTTTGCTTTTGTTGTTATAATCAAATATCAAAGGGAGGGTAAATTTATTGTCTGGTCGAATTTTGGGAATTTTTTTCGTTAATAATAATGATTCTCTTTCTGTGTTTCCTATTTGTTCTATTTCTTTGTCTAAATACTCTTTTT